ATTCTTGAAAGAGCATCAGCATTTACGTTGAGTTTTCCTTTTTTATACACAATGGTAAAGTCAAATTCTTCTAATCTAAGTTTCCAGCGTATGAGCTTACTACTGGGTTCACGCATTGTGAATAACCAAACTAGAGGTCGATGATCAGTATATATCGTGAATTTTCGGCCGAAAAGGTATGGCCTAAAATACTTGCAAGCCCAAACTATGCCTAATAATTCTTTTTCAATGGTACTATATCGTGTTTCACTGTCATTCAGGGTTCTGGATGCAAAAGCAATTGGCTTATCAGATCCGATTTGTCCTTGGGACAAAACAGCTCCTAAGGCTACATTCGAAGCATCTGTTGTTAAAACAAATGGCTTGGTGAAGTCAGGATATTGAAGTACTGGTGCGTTGATCAATAAATTTTTGCATGTTTCGAAGGCTAGTATGAAATTTGAATCATGAATTACTTTTTCGGTCTTTTTGAGGCACTTAGTTAAAGGTTTTGTGATACGTGCAAAGTCTTTAATGAATTTTCGGTAGTAACCGACAAGGCCTAGAAAGCTCTTAATTTCCTTGGGTGTTTTAGGTATCGGGAATTTTTTTATCGCATCAATTTTGTCTGGATTTGGTTTGACACCATCACGTGTAATAACGTGTCCTAAATAACTTACTTCTTTGCGAAGGAATTCCGATTTGTCAAGTTGGACCTTAAAATTTGCTTGACGTAGTCGAAGAAATATGTTTCTCAATCTACTAATGTGTTCACGAAGGGATGTGCTAAAGACGACAATATCGTCAAGATAAACTAGACATTCCTCGTTTTGGAGACCTCTAAGGATATTGTCCATTACTCGTTGGAATGTGGAGGGGGCATTTTTTAGACCGAAGGGCATACGCTTGTACTCGTAATGACCATTCTCAGTCGAAAAAGCGGTTTTTTGAATATCCTCAGGATGCATTTCAATTTGATGGAATCCGTTGGCCAAATCTAAAGTGGAGAAATATTGGCTTTTGCCTAATTTATCAAGGATGTCATTGATATTCGGAAGTGGATATTTGTCATCTATCGTTCGTAAGTTCAAATTCCTATAATCAACTACTAAACGCCACTTACGTTTACCGGAAGCGTCCAATTTTTTTGGAACTATCCATATAGGACTAGAAAATGGTGAAAATGATTCTTGTATGATGTTTTGATCAAGCATTTTCTGAATTTGGGATTTTACTTCTGCCTTATGGACTTCGGGATAACGATACGTCTTAGTAAAGATTGGGGTATCATCAGTTAAATTGATTTTATGTTGAATTTGATTGGTGAATGTTAGAGGGATTTTATCGCAATAAAAGATATCTCTAAATTCTAAACATAAATCTCTTATAGCTTTATTTTCTTCGGAATTGCAATGTTGTAATCTGAGATTCTTAAGATTAGCTTTCAGTAGATTATCTTTGGAAGGGTCAACCTCAATAACGTCGTCAACTTCCATTTTTTCTATAAAATTGATTTCGTTAACATTCAGTAATTCTGAATTAAAAGGTGCAGTTATTTTGATAGTTATTGGTTCTAATCTAGAATTAATAATGGTTGTTGTTGCAAAATAATTTTCGATATTAGTAATAGCTTCTGGTGACTCTATTTGTTCATCGAATTTAATATAATTTAGAATGCAATGACCTTTTTCGTACTTGACTGGCAGTTTTACCACTTGTTGTGTTCTAGCAGGAATAGTTATAGAACAATTAAAGTTACTTATTCTTTTACTTGTATTAATTTTTTCCAATTCAAAAATAATTGGTATTTTTACAATCGGAGTGATTAATAATTTCTTGTTAACATCCAATACAGCTTGTAGTTGTGCTAACAAATCAATGCCAATCAGTCCGTCATATTTTTTGCTAAAATCAAAAACAAAGAATTTATGCTTATTCTTGTCTTTAAAAATATCAAAACTTGGTATTAATACTGCTTGGTCGTGATAAGAAATATTGTGAGGTGTTTGAATCTGAAATTCTTCTTGAAAAGTATAATTTCTGTAAAATTTATTAACTATTTTCGAAGACAGCAAACTTTTAGTGCTCCCTGTATCTATTAAGATATTTGCTTTTATTTCAGGGATGTACAGATAAGGCAAATTTGCTGCGGTCACGTTCAAGTTAATTAAGTTACTTTGTTGTTGGATGTGATTATATGAAAATTTAATTCATCAGCTTCCTCCTGAGAAGTGCTGGCTGTCGAAATTTCAGACTGTTGTAAGTTACTTACATTGTTGCACTCTGCGTATGGGTTATAAGTATTATATGGCATTTCTTCATTAGAAGGATAATAATTATTATCAAAAGAATATTGGTCATTTGGATCGAAATTTTGATCTTGATCGTTTTGGTATAAATATGAATAATCAAAGTTATCGGCATGACTCATCATATTTTGATAATCAAAGTATTGACTTGGATCATAAGGATTATTTTCAATACTTTGTTGGTTTAATTCTGTGAATGTATATTTGGGTTGTTGTCTTTGATTGTTAATCATTGTGTTGCCAGATGAAGTATCCATTGGCTCGGGTTTCTGTTTATTCTGATTGTTTTGATTGGGATTATTGAAAGGTGGTCGAAATTGATTATTTCGAATTATTTGGCTCGGTTTTTGGCCAGAGAAAAATGGTCTTTGGAAATTGGGTCTAAATTGTGAATAATTGGGTTGGAATGTATTTGGTCTGAATTGGAATGTATTATTTGGTCTTGGATAAAATGTATTTGGTCCTGATGATTGGAAACCAAATGGCCTGTGATTGTTATTGAATGGTGGTCTCTGAAATGCGAGATTTGTTTGCTGGTTATTTTGGTAGTTAATATTTTTGTTACGAGGGTGATTATTGCTGCTATTGTTATTAGCAGGAGTAACTCTCTGGTTTAGTCTGAAGTTTTGAAAGTTAAGTAAATTATTACGACTTTGGCTGTATAAGAAGTTTTCTTCCTCAATCACGAGAGACATTGCTTTTTCAAGGCTTATAGGGTCTCGTAAACGGATATTATTTTGTAGCTGACCTGGTAAACCTCTTATAAATGTTTTTAAGGCAAGATCGTTATAGTTTTGAGTTTTGATGTCAAGTTCGTCTTGTGTTAAATTCAATGAGTTTAATTTTGAGAATACCAAAGAACGTGCGTCTTGGCATCGCATGCCAAAATTATAAGGTGTTTCGGTTTTATTAGGTGATAGCGTGATTAAATCTTGAACAAGGCAATCCAAATTTCTTTGATCACCAAAACTTAACTCTAAAGCAAATTTTACATCGTTCCAAGTTTTTAATTCGTTAATTCGAGAACCAATTAAGCTGAGGGCTCGACCTGATAATTTCCCAATTATTGCTCTCACAATAAAGCTGTTGTGAACATCGTCATTGTCACGATGGAAATTACTAATAAGACAACTGCAATTATTGATGAAAATGGTTAATGTGTGCGGATCTCCATCATAAGGAGGAATAGTGTCCACATACAAACGTAACAATTGGTAATTGATTGGTTGATTTTGGTTAGGCATTGTATTATTTGGTAAATTCAAAGTTGGTTGTTGATTATTATGATTTGTTGTTTGAAAATTAATTAAATTAAATCTATTTATGATATTTTCGATTTCGTCTTCAGAATCAGACATAAATCGTTAAAAAGCAAAAAGAAAAAATAGTGACTTTATAAAAAATGAGCAAAAATCTATAAAAATAAACTTAAAATTTACTTACATTAATAGAAAAATGATTTGTTTCATTCCTGTAGCATTTATTTCACTTATTTTCTACACTTAACTACTGTTCCAAGAGGAAAGAAGCGATTTTTGTCTTCAACTCCCTAGATTTCTTAAACTAGCTGGTTTTGGCGATGTGGTCCTCCACCAGTTACTGCTTCAGTTTGATTTTCGCCGTTTGTTGCCCGGAACCACGATGATTGCCAAATTAACCGTAAACGGAACTTTTTGCGAAATTACGAGCGATTTTTGTCTCGACGATAACGCGACGTTTTGGCAAATCCTACCGACTGCGCCAATTTTAGGTTCGATTAGGGCAAGTTACTTTTTAAAAAAACAAACTTTTAAAAGCAGGGACTTTATTACTCGAAATACAAATGAATAAAGACGAATTTTCATCCGTTACAATGGCTTAAATAAAATGGTATAAATGTAAAGTCAGCAGTAATAATCGTGTGGGTCGCTCGAAGTCGGATTGTTGTTACGGTTCTCATCCATAAGAGGCCATGTATAGAGTGTACATAACTCGCTATAAGTTTGTGGAAAATTTTCTGCCTTCCTGGTAATTCTTCACGCATATTCGTATCGTTCCTTTGAATTCTTTCTACAGTTTTTTGTAAAAGTTCTTCAAAGTAAGCATTATCCATTCTGAGATGATTTCTATATGCCTCTGGATCTTATACATTTCTACAACCAATTCTCGAAGGAGATTTTGTGATGCACATTGGGTATTTCGTTTTAAAATTCATGGCCGGCTCCAACACCTTTGTTTATTTCTCTTTTTTTCTCGATTAAGTCATTATTTCATCCCGAATCGCACAACAAATTATTAATTGCACACCTAACATCAATAATTTCACTTGACGCCATTTTTGCAATTATTCAACATACATCGCCCATCCCCTATGGTGTAAACCTTTTTGCTTTCAACACAGATCGAACGATGGTCGAATGACCCGGATCATTCAACTCAGATCGACCCGTGAAAACGCTCCTTAAACCCAAAATTGCCAAATCAGAAATCTCAAAATATCAAGAAGCCATTGACAAACTTCTTCTTCTTTCTTTTTGCAATAATTTGTTCAAAAAATAATAATCATAACAGCATTGAAAGCAGCGTACAACCACACATGGATGCTTCAATCCCTCTTATTCCTAAAGATCAATTTGTATTTCCCAAAACAGTACTCGGATGTGGAGTGCAACGAAAAGTGATGCTTGGAACTAATGTAGTCATACGTAGTGCAAGCAAAGGTGTTCTGTTCAGAGGAAATTAGCTTTAAGGGAAATAAGTATTCACACGCAAATCAGGCATCCCAATATTGTTCAAATGATGGGCTACAGTTATGGTACCAGTGTAGTACATGTTGTAATGGAATTGGTAGATACTTTGCACAATATTCTTTTTGAGGATTATGTTGAGGAAATTTGTCAACTAGATGGCGGGAAAAAAACATTAATATCTTTACAGGTATGTCAGGCGGTTAAGTATCTGCACGAAGAAAAGATTCCTAAACCAACCAATATTGTGATTAGTTCTACATTAGTTACCAAAATTTTTAATTATGGAGTTATTTACTTTTTTTTTAGACAAAATTTTGACAAACACTTGCGAGCCTTAAGACAAGGCCCGCATACTGGCACTTCAATAAAAAGAAAGTAACATTTGGCTTAATGTCCTTGCATCTTAATCTTTGATACTCATCTAAATAATACTTGTGTTCGAATCTCTATTGCTCTGCGCATTAAACAACCTCTGTGCAAGCCTCATATCTCTTGTCAATGCCTTTTGTATTCTACACAAAATCTGTAGAAGAGCAAGAGTGCCACTACCTGAAATCATAGAAGTTAATGAGGAAAATGACAATTATCATGAGGTTTTTGACTTGCAAATTAACAACGAAGGAAGACAAATTAGGGCCGCTTTAATAAATAGATATTTTCAATAACTAGTTTTATGTATTTTTCAAAATTCTTTGTACATTGTAATGATCTTCCGGGTCTGGTTACATTCATTCTAGAAGCAAGAGATTTCAATGATGACTTTCACATTAAAATTGGAATTGATGGAGGCGGTGATTCACTAAAAATTTGTATGACTATTCTTCTTCTAGAAGATTAAGGATCCGAGGAGAAATATAAATTCTAGGGCATAAAAAAATTGTTTATTATTGGCCTTAGTCCAAATTTTGTGGAATCATATAAAAATATAAAGACCCTCCTAGAAGTGTTGAATTTGCATGCTATATGTGGGGTATGCTCTTATAGTAATACGGCAGATTTAACGCTGATTATGATGCTTCTTGGACTCCAGAGTAACGCTTCAGCACATCCATGCCCTTGGTGCAATGTTAGTTCAAGAGAACTAAAGACCAAAGGTTCGTCTAGAACTACCGATAGAATCTCAGATAACTTTAAAATTTATGTGGCATAGAGAAACTAACGGACAGCTTTCGCAGGCAAAAATGTTTGGTACCTTAAAATTTTCACTTATTTAGTGCAAATTATCGCGTAAAATTACAATCTGATTGGTTCAATCAACAATCAAAACATGTCAACTTATTGTTGGAATACCAGTTTTGACAGATGTATGAAATTCTCATAATTATTCCTTGAATAGGTTTTGTTTTTTCATCTTGACCATACCTCTTGGAAGTTTTTCCAACATGTCGCATTTTTTTGGTGCTATTTCCATTGAATTTTCCATAGTGATCAAAGCCAATATACAATTGTTTAACCCATTCTGCTGCTACCTCATGATATTCCATTTTCAAGGTATCAAATAATTTTTGTACAGTACCTAAAACTATATGAAGCTCTGGGGGAGGTAGGTAGTGAAGCACTGGTTTTTCCGAGTCACCGACCAATAACGGCAAACCGATATAGTTTTCTAAAAATAGAAGAAAAAACTAAAGTATGGGTATATACATAGATGTAAAAATTCTTGACTGGCTTGTTTAATAGGTGAGATGATTCTTATTTTTATATACATATATATAATACTGTTACGATATCGCTAACGCCAGGCCAGAAGAACAGCGTCCGCCGCCAGGCTGTCAAGAATCTAGCAAATTATTCTACCATAATCTGGAAAATAAGATTATAGTGTGTATTCTAGATTTTAGAAAGCCGGCATTGGTTTGTAAGTTAAGTTGAAGTTTGACTGTGATTCGAATTAAATAGTGACTATTGCGAGTTGTGAGAGTTTAATTGTTGAGTTAGTTATTGAAGTAATTAGTGTCAGAGTGTATTGTTAAGTGGAATAAATTATTGCTGTGTTAATTGGACTTTGATTTTTGGAATAAACGAAACAAACAACGAACCCAAGATTTCTGTCAGGCAACCCAAAGCCGTGACAATACTTTAATATTGTTAAAAATAAGTGAAAATTTTAAGGTACCAAACATTTTTGCCTGCGAAAGCTGTCCGTTAGTTTCTCTATGCCACATAAATTTTAAAGTTATCTGAGATTCTATCGGTAGTTCTAGACGAACCTTTGGTCTTTAGTTCTCTTGAACTAACATTGCACCAAGGGCATGGATGTGCTGAAGCGTTACTCTGGAGTCCAAGAAGCATCATAATCAGCGTTAAATCTGCCGTATTACTATAAGAGCATACCCCACATATAGCATGCAAATTCAACACTTCTAGGAGGGTCTTTATATTTTTATATGATTCCACAAAATTTGGACTAAGGCCAATAATAAACAATTTTTTTATGCCCTAGAATTTATATTTCTCCTCGGATCCTTAATCTTCTAGAAGAAGAATAGTCATACAAATTTTTAGTGAATCACCGCCTCCATCAATTCCAATTTTAATGTGAAAGTCATCATTGAAATCTCTTGCTTCTAGAATGAATGTAACCAGACCCGGAAGATCATTACAATGTACAAAGAATTTTGAAAAATACATAAAACTAGTTATTGAAAATATCTACTTATTAAAGCGGCCCTAGTTTGTCTTCCTTCGTTGTTAATTTGCAAGTCAAAAACCTCATGATAATTGTCATTTTCCTCATTAACTTCTATGATTTCAGGTAGTGGCACTCTTGCTCTTCTACAGATTTTGTGTAGAATACAAAAGGCATTGACAAGAGATATGAGGCTTGCACCTAGGTTGTTTAATGCGCAGAGCAATAGAGATTCGAACACAAGTATTATTTAGATGAGTACTCAAAGATTAAGATGCAAGGACATTAAGCCAAATGTTACTTTCTTTTTATTGAAGTGCCAGTATGCGGGCCTTGTCTTAAGGCTCGCAAGTGTTTGTCAAAATTTTGTCTAAAAAAAAAGTAAATAACTCCATAATTAAAAATTTTGGTAACTAATGTAGAACTAATCACAATATTGGTTGGTTTAGGAATCTGTTCTTCGTGCAGATACTTAACCGCCTGACATACCTGTAAAGATATTAATGTTTTTTTCCCGCCATCTAGTTGACAAATTTCCTCAACATAATCCTCAAAAAGAATATTGTGCAAAGTATCTACCAATTCCATTACAACATGTACTACACTGGTACCATAACTGTAGCCCATCATTTGAAAAATATTGGGATGCCTGATTTGCGTGTGAATACTTATTTCCCTTAAAGCTAATTTCCTCTGAACAGAACACCTTTGCTTGCACTACGTATGACTACATTAGTTCCAAGCATCACTTTTCGTTGCACTCCACATCTGAGTACTGTTTTGGGAAATACAAATTGATCTTTAGGAATAAGAGGGATTGAAGCATCCATGTGTGGTTGTACGCTGCTTTCAATGCTGTTATGATTATTATTTTTTGAACAAATTATTGCAAAAAGAAAGAAGAAGAAGTTTGTCAATGGCTTCTTGATATTTTGAGATTTCTGATTTGGCAATTTTGGGTTTAAGGAGCGTTTTCACGGGTCGATCTGAGTTGAATGATCCGGGTCATTCGACCATCGTTCGATCTGTGTTGAAAGCAAAAAGGTTTACACCATAGGGGATGGGCGATGTATGTTGAATAATTGCAAAAATGGCGTCAAGTGAAATTATTGATGTTAGGTGTGCAATTAATAATTTGTTGTGCGATTCGGGATGAAATAATGACTTAATCGAGAAAAAAAGAGAAATAAACAAAGGTGTTGGAGCCGGCCATGAATTTTAAAACGAAATACCCAATGTGCATCACAAAATCTCCTTCGAGAATTGGTTGTAGAAATGTATAAGATCCAGAGGCATATAGAAATCATCTCAGAATGGATAATGCTTACTTTGAAGAACTTTTACAAAAAACTGTAGAAAGAATTCAAAGGAACGATACGAATATGCGTGAAGAATTACCAGGAAGGCAGAAAATTTTCCACAAACTTATAGCGTGTCGCACCAAAAATAAAAACTTTAAACAACACCATTCAGCGTTCGGCACGTTTTGTTTTTTTTCGGTGAGGTGTTTACATATTCGATTCCAGTCGTTCGACTTCGATTCGGCGACGATCGCCTGTAAAAGTCGACAACCTTTCTACTTCGGTCGAATCGACTCTCTCCGTCGAACGGCCAAGCCGAAAGGTGGTTAACATGTTCAATTTGCTTTCGATTTAATGATCGACACAAATCGTTCAACTCAGATCGACCCGTGAAAACGCGCCTTTAGGAACAGAATTTTGATGTGGGTGATTTGAAAATTTTAAGGTCACCCCTTTTATCCATGACAATACTGGTAATTAATTTCCAGTTCTCGATAAAGAGACTTAGTCGGCCTGCCGTTGTGCTGCTTACCTCTAATAGTAAGTTTTCTTCTGGTGAGCCTTGCGCCCCTGTTTTGACAAAAACTTCCTCTCGTGGCTCTCTAGGCCTTTGTACCTTTTCTCCCCATAAGTTGAGTGGTAGGGCGTCTCAAGTTTAAATTTGACGTTGTAGGCTAAAATCACCAATTCACTGGAGAATTATAGAGGAACATATTCCTGACAATTGCCACCTGTTAGGGGATTCAGCATATCCCTTTACATACTAATCTTATGGTTCCCTTTAGAGATAATGGGCATTTAACTAATCATCAAAGAAGATTCAATCAAATATTGAGCAGTCACAGAGTTTTAGTTGAGCAAGCATTTGGTAGTATGTATGACCTGTTTCGACGGCTGAAATATTTGAGTATCTTCAACTTGGCCAACTGTAAATATATCATAATTGCTGCATGCTGAAGATAATGGCGCAGGTAAAGCACAAGAAAACAAGAGAAACAGAGCAGCCAGAGAAGAGAGAAATCAAATTATGAGTTTTTTGAATAATGATTTTTTTGTTCAATATTAGTGTAAGATTTTTGATTAATATTTATAGTTTTTGATTGAATCGGCTTTTACTTGGTGGAAATCCATTATCTAATAAAAGATTTTTTAAGTAAATTTTAATACTTATATATTTCCACAATTTTTTGTTAAACTTTTAACATGTTTCGCTAAACTTTAGCTTCATCAGAAAGATTTTAGAAAAATAAAATGTAG